ATTGTTTGAAATGTATTTGGTTAGAAGAAAGAAGTTTATTGTGTAAGAGATTAAAGATAAAAGAAGTGTGTTATGTATGTTAAATTTTTAGCCGTTTGAACTCGTCACGTCGGTGTGAGGAGTTCCATTGTTTTTTTTAAAAATTGCCCATTCAACAACGGTCAAAAAATTCAAAATTATACCCGTTGGAATTTGTCACGCCGGCGTGACGAGTTCTATCAGTAATAAAATAATATTTTTAATGCTTTTAAAAAATTTAAAAAAAATCGGGCTGTGAGACCTACATGACACGACCCATTTAAAAAATATATCTCATGGAACTCGTTACGCCGACATAATGAGTTCCATGGGAACTGTAGCATTTGCCCTAGATCCCAAAATAATTTTCATGTTGCCCTATTAGGCCAAATAATCTACCCGCCTGGATTATTGGGCTAAAAAATGATCTTATGACTCTAAAACGACTATTTTTTTAGTTTTAAAAGTTATAAAATGATATTTAAATTATTTATATATTTTAAATTTATTGTTTTGTGTTAAAAAATTAGAAATTATCAAAATTTAAAAATAATTTACTAATTAAAATATAATAAGAATTGATCTTAAAATCATTTGAATTATATTTTATTGATTAAATCTTTATTTGTATTATATTATCGAGTAAGTACTTAAAACATTATATCATCAAATCAATACTAAAAACTTTTACTTATAAATATAGTTAAAATATGATTTTATTATATATTTATTAATAAATTAATATCGAACTTAAATGATCATCAATTTTTTTAATGAAAATGATTAGTTTAAAACATATAAATAATAAAATAATTATTTTATAATTTTTAATAATCAAATTATTTAACGAAGTAATTTTTTATATTCGGATTCATCTGTACTTTACCCTAAAGTTGATTAGGTAATCTCTTGGCGGACATGGTTGGTAGAGCACAAAGTTCTTAACCTTGTAGTCGTAAGATCGAGTCTTACAGTGAGCAATTCATAATTCTGACTGTTGGAGGTATTTTACGGAAACTACTCTCAACTTAACGTTGAGACAACCTACTACTCTACCTCCCTTTATCTTATTTAATATCATAATAGGGTCAACTAATTTTTTTTTTTTGGCTGACATGGTTGGAAATACTAGAAAATATCGAAAACCATTTAACTGCTAATCTCGAACAGGATCCGTTGGATTAATTGTGATCGACGGCTAAGAAAGAAACCCTAGTTTAGCCAATGCTGAGAGTGTGTCTACTTAAGCTGAACCAGCCCGCAGCCCTCGCGCACTCTCACAAGCTTTCTACTCTTATCTTCTCTTGGATCTCAAATACTCTCTCTTTTTAGCTCACAGGTATGAATCCGTGTACTAATTATGATTGTTTTTCAAGTTTCATTTCTTTGATTCGAAGGAAAATCCGATCTAATTGGTTGTTAGCTGAAATATTAGTTCTATTTCTGAGTGATTTGCTTATAGTTTATATAACTTCACTTTTATTGTCATATTATCATTTCATGCATATAAGTTCGTTTCAAAATTCGAAATCTGTTTTTTGTTTGAAGAATTCCAGTTCTTACAGATTTGTTGAAGCAGATGCAGCCTAAGGGAAATTTGTTATGCAAAATAATCAGAATGGTCAAAGACTATATTCGGAGGCTCGTTTTATTTCAATGAAAATGTTTGACTGAGTTATGATCTAGTGGCTGTAGTTCATTGCAATGAACTCCATATCTATGGAGGGACTGGGCTCGAATCCCAGCGGCCACGTATTGTACATGTTGAATATGTTGTATTTAAATGTGGATTGAGTTTTAATTTTTCTAAAATGGGTTTGAATTAATTTTTTTTCTTTCAAAACTGATCTTTTTTAAGCTGATCTCAAAATTATCATTTTTATTCATAATATGTGGGTTTTCTTTTTTGGTTTTGATGTTGAATCTTTATTGTGGTTAGGTGAAGGAGAATTATGTTTTGATTTTGTGTGGTTTATTTTATGTATATGTTCATGTCTTGATTTTCAGATTATCTCCCAAATTTTATAATGGGTAAGGAGAAGATTCACATCAACATTGTGGTCATTGGCCATGTCGACTCTGGGAAGTCAACAACCACCGGTCATTTGATCTACAAGCTTGGTGGTATTGACAAGCGTGTGATTGAGAGGTTCGAGAAGGAGGCTGCCGAGATGAACAAAAGGTCATTCAAGTATGCCTGGGTGCTTGACAAGCTTAAGGCGGAGCGTGAACGTGGTATTACCATTGATATTGCCCTGTGGAAATTTGAGACCACCAAGTACTACTGCACCGTCATTGATGCCCCCGGACATCGGGACTTTATCAAGAACATGATTACTGGTACCTCCCAGGCTGACTGTGCTGTTCTCATTATTGACTCGACCACTGGTGGTTTTGAAGCTGGTATCTCTAAGGATGGTCAGACCCGTGAGCATGCTTTGCTTGCATTTACCCTTGGTGTCAAGCAGATGATTTGCTGCTGCAACAAGGTGAAGTTTATAATCATTCATGTCTATCAGTGTATTTTTTAATTGCCTTTTACGATTAATGTCTTGATTAATAATTGATTATGTGACTGATCTGATTATCAATTATCATTTGCTATAGATGGATGCCACAACTCCCAAGTATTCCAAGGCAAGGTATGATGAAATTGTGAAGGAAGTCTCTTCATATCTTAAGAAAGTTGGTTACAACCCCGAGAAGATCCCATTTGTCCCAATCTCTGGTTTTGAGGGTGATAACATGATTGAGAGGTCTACCAACCTTGACTGGTACAAGGGTCCCACTCTCCTTGAGGCTCTTGACCAGATCAATGAGCCCAAGAGGCCTTCAGACAAGCCCCTCCGACTCCCACTTCAGGACGTCTACAAGATTGGAGGCATTGGAACTGTCCCTGTTGGTCGTGTGGAGACTGGTGTCCTTAAACCTGGTATGGTCGTGACATTTGGTCCCTCTGGCCTGACCACTGAAGTCAAGTCCGTTGAGATGCACCATGAATCCCTCCCAGAGGCTCTACCTGGTGACAATGTTGGGTTCAATGTTAAGAACGTTGCTGTTAAGGATCTCAAGCGTGGTTTTGTTGCTTCAAACTCCAAGGATGATCCCGCCAAGGAGGCTGCCAACTTCACCTCTCAAGTCATCATCATGAACCACCCTGGCCAGATTGGAAACGGATATGCCCCAGTCCTCGACTGTCACACCTCCCACATTGCCGTGAAATTTGCTGAACTGCTGACCAAGATTGATAGACGATCTGGCAAGGAGCTGGAGAAGGAGCCCAAGTTCTTGAAGAACGGTGATGCCGGGATGGTGAAGATGGTTCCCACCAAGCCTATGGTTGTGGAAACTTTCTCCGAGTACCCACCTCTTGGACGTTTTGCCGTCAGGGACATGCGCCAGACTGTGGCTGTTGGTGTCATCAAGAACGTTGAGAAGAAGGACCCAACCGGTGCCAAGGTCACCAAATCTGCTGCCAAGAAGAAGTGAGATTGCATTTGAGCAACATCACTGCTAGGATAGTTCTCCTATTCTGCTTTGATTTTTGTTGAGTATTGGTTGGACCAATTTTGATATGCTTTTCGCTGCGGTCATGTTTTGGTTCGAGACTTTGAACATTGTTGTTGTTTGTCTCTACTTTTTCATTTTCAATTGCCTTCTAAGATTTACAGGTTTTACATATGGATCCCAAAATCATTTCGGCATTTCAATTTCCAAAACATTCACATATAAATAGAAACCCCATTAATCAGTAATCCAAGTCCTCTTCTAATAGTGGAGGTGACCAAGGTTTTTACCTTAAAAAAACTCGATTTCCACCGAGTTTGGTTATTTTTCTTTTAAAAAAAAGGATTATATAAATAAGCGTATTGTTGCTTATTTCACTTATTTTTCTTCATATATTTGGAAGCCCAACTTGAAAATAAGTACGAATGAAACTATATTAATCTAACATTCGTACTGTTGAGATTAATTGATGATCAATAATTTTTGTAGATTTTTTATTATCTATTGTTATTAATGTGATTGCGGACGATGACCGAATAAAATTGGTGATAAATGATTCGACGGAGGTAGAAAAATAACAAAACTTTTAAATATGGTGAATATTGTATCTAAAGACTACGAAGATGGAAAGAACACCAAGCAATGGTGACACATGAAGAAAGGTCAATGACCATTAATTGATACGAGAAACATATATTTTTTTTTTGGGAATAAGATAAGACTTTAACATGTACATCAATATTCCTTAACAATAGTTACGACAATGTTTATGAAAGTGAGTTAAGAATTTAGTGATAAAATAATAACAAAAACTGATCATAATATTTGTAATGATAGATTAGATTTTCAAATACTTAAAATAATTTCAAAATTTTTAGACAATATTCTGACAAAAGAATTTTAAACACGTAAAATGCATTACCAACATCAGATTAACTGTTTATACCTCCTTTTTTGGTTAGTACAGCAAGTGTAACCGATATATACATTTTTCTTGGTACATTAAAATTTAGGGTTAATTACCTCATTCATATCTGAATTATATCCGATTCTCAGTTTCATATATAATGTTTAAAATTTTTTGATTTTATACATGTTTTTTGCCGTTAAAGGATTTACACACTTCCTTCACGGAAAATGACGTAGAACCCTACGGGAACGACAAGTGGCACATTGAAAACATGTTTTTATTTTTTTAAGATAAATTACATTATTCATAACTCAACTATCTTCTCACTCTTATTTTAGTAACTAAAGTCTAATTTTTTTAATTTAAACTTTAGTGACTACGGACGTCGTCAACCATGATTCGGATAAATTTTTAATCTTATATATATATATATAAGATTTCAGCAAACCATCACGGCTCAACTATCTTCTCCGTGGCAGGGTGATTATGGACGTCGTCAATGCCGAACATGCTCAAATCGTCGAAGAAGTCGGAACTTGCGTCGTCATGGCTCTTGAACGAGTTCCCGCCGATATCTGAGCTCAAGGCGGCGTGGTGCGGATGAGTGACCCACAACTCATCAAGGAAATCAAGCAGGCTGTGACTATCCCCGTCATGGCTAAAGCTCGTATCTGTCATTTCGTCGAGGCCCAGATCTTCGAAGCCATTGGCATCGATTATGTAGACGAGAGCGAGGTTCTCACTCTTGCCGATGAAAAAAACCACATTAACAAATACAATTTTCAGATTCCTTTCGTTTGTGGGTGCCAGAATTTGGGGAAAGCGCTTCGGATAATCAGAGAAGGAGCTGCTATGATTCGAACCAAAGGTGAAGCCGGGACCGGGAATATCATCGAAGCCGTTAGGCACATCAGATCCGTGATGAGTAATATCAGAGTTCTTAGGAACATGGATGAAGACGAGGTTTTCACCTTCGTTAAAAAAATTCAATCCCCCTACAATTTGGTTATGCATACGAAGCAGCTAGGGAGGTTGCCAGTGGTTCAGTTAGCCGCAGACAGAGTGGCGACGCCAGTTGCTGCGGCGTTGATGATGTAGTTAGGCTGTGATGGAGTGTTTGTGGGCTATGTAGGAATATTAACTTTGAAATGTACTAATTCCTTATGATTATTAGATTTAGGGTTGGAGGAAAATGATGTGAAGAAGCTTAACTTGCTAAACCTATTTGGGGATTTTTTAAGAAGTTTGGTGGCTTGTGATTTGGGATTTAAGTACAAGATTTAGGATCTTTAATTAATTTATTTTTTATTTTAATTTTATGTAATAACAATATTAATAAAATAATACTAATAGATGTCACATCATTAAAAATATTAATAAAATAATACTAATAGATGCCACATCATAAAAATATTAATAAAATAATACTAACTGATGTCATGTTATAAAAATATTAATAAAATAAATTTTAATTATTAAAATAAGAGTAATTCTATAGTTTAATAATTAAATAAAAAAATTAAACTTTAGTGACTAAAATAAGAGTAAGAAGATAGTTGAATGATGAATGATGTAATTTACCTAAAAATCATATTTTTTTTAAGTGTCACATGTCATTTTATTAGTGCTCGTAGGATTCCACATCACTTTCCGTGACGGAAGTAGGTGAATCCGTTAACGAAAAAAAATATCATGTATAAAATTGAGAATTTTTAAACATTATGTATGAAACTGAGAATCATGTATAGTTCATGTATGAATAGAATAATTAACCCTAAAATTTAAGTCAACGATGATTCTCCCAATCTAGGGTCAAGTCATACTTAAGACTTAATTATAATTTACATAAGAATTTATAGAATGTTCACAAAAAATGACGGTGATAAAATTCAAACTTAACCTTACAAACTTAAATTATTAAATCCCAACTCATTGGCATAACTAAATATTCATCAATCTCTCTGTATAATTATTTATAATATTACAAACATATTATTTTTTTTAATAAAATTTTTTAATAAGTTTTATAATGACCGTCCCTTTTTCCCATATGTATGGAGTAAGGGGAGGTAAGATAGTAGGTTACCCCCAACACCAGGTTGAGAGCAGCTTCCGTAAGAGACCTCCGAATTATAAAATGCCCTCCGTGGGACTCAATCTTACGACCTTAAGGTTAAGGACCTTATGCTCTACCAACTGAGCTGGATGGTCATTTCTAATAAGTTTTATAATATTTAATTTATTTAATTAATCACTTATTAAAAATAATAATAATACAGAAAGTAGGGTTTTAGTCTTCACTCACTTCAAACTAAAAGACTTGAAAATCTGGTTGGCTCCTATTCTCCTTCCTCCATTGCCTTTTATTTCACCATAGACAAAAGGTTCTTCCTTTTTACCTCTTTCTACTGCCTCTCTGTGTTTGTTTAATTCCTTCACTTTATCATCCCAATTCAACACTTTTTTATTATTCTTTTTTTGTAGTTAACTGAAAAATGGCTGGGGTTAGAGAGATGACGGCGGCAGAGTTTCTGCGAGTAAGTTTTTTGTTTTTCTTCTAGTCTCTGTTTGGTTTCCGAGAAAGTGTTCGTAAACGATATTCCACCAATGGGTTTTCCTTGTTTTTTGATTTCGACTTGAAAAAGTTGTAATTTTTCCTTTGATTTTGAGTTCTTCATTCTTTTGGTGCATTATGCTTTCTTTCAGGGTACAACAAGGCAGGCTCTGTTTTTGCAGAGAAATACTTTCATCAAGAGAAGTAATTTGTTATGGGGCAAGCTGTGTAATCCAAAGGGTGCTTCTTTGAGGTGCTTTTCTCGTTCAAAGGTTAAATCAATGGCTTCTGAGAATGTCCGTACTAGTTTGGTTGATGAGCAATCTGGGTTGATTGGAAAGCCTGCACAAGAGGTCATACATTTCTACCGTGTCCCTTTGATTCAAGAAAGTGCAAACGATGAGCTTCTCAAATCGGTTCAGACCAAAGTTTCCAGTCGGATTGTTGGGTTGAAAACTGAGCAGTGTTTTAATATAGGACTTGTTTCGAAGATTTCGAAGGAGAAGCTCACTACTCTTAAATGGATTCTTGGGGAGACATACGAGCCCGAGAATTTAGCAACCGAGAGTTTTCTTGCCAAGAAGAGACAAGAAGGGTTGAATGCAGTGATTGTTGAAGTTGGTCCTAGGCTTTCTTTCACAACAGCATGGTCCTCGAACGCTGTTTCGATTTTTCAATCGTGTGGCTTGTTTGATGAACAAGACTTGCAGTACTATACCAGGTTGTTCATGGAAGACATTAAGCGGAATCCGACGAATGTGGAGTTATTCGATATCACCCAATCTAACAGTGAGCACAGCAGGCATTGGTTTTTCACAGGGAAGATTGTTATTGATGGACAGCACATGGACAGGACCCTCATGCAAATTGTCAAGAGCACTTTGAAAGCAAATCCAAGTAATTCTGTCATCGGTTTTAAGGATAATTCAAGTGCAATAAAGGGGTTCCTTGCTTATCGATTACAGCCAGTTCAGCCTGGAACAGCCTGCCCGCTAAAGGAAACAACTCGGGAAATCGATGTCTTGTTTACAGCCGAAACACATAACTTCCCATGTGCGGTGGCACCCTACCCTGGCGCAGAGACGGGTGCAGGTGGTCGGATTAGGGATAAGCATGCCACTGGGAGAGGGTTCTTTGTTGTTGCTGCCACAGCTGGTTACACAACTGGGAATCTTAATATAGATCGTATGCCCCCTGGGAGGATCTATCTTTCACATATCTTTCAAAGTTGGCTTCTCCTTTGGAAATTCTCATTGAAGCTAGCAGTGGTGCATTGGATTATGGTAACAAATTTGGTGAACCGTTGATTCAGGGTTTTACCAGAACATTTGGAATGAGACTCCCTAGTGGTGAACGGCGCGAATGGTTGAAGCCTATCATGTTTAGTGGAGGGATTGGGCATATCGATCACACTCATATATCGAAAGGGGATCCTGAGATTGGAATGTTAGTTGTAAAGATTGGTGGGCCTGCATATCGAATTGGAATGGGTGGAGGAGCTGCTTCCAGTATGGTTAGTGGTCAGAATGATGCAGAACTCGATTTTAATGCAGTACAGCGTGGAGATGCTGAAATGGCACAAAAATTGTATCGTGTAGTTTGCGCCTGCATCGAGATGGGGGAGGATAACCCAATTATTAGCATTCATGATCAGGGAGCTGGAGGGAATTGCAATGTTGTGAAGGAAATCATATTTCCGAAGGGGGCTGAAATTGACATTAGGGCGATTGTTGTTTGTGACCACACTATGTCAGTCTTGGAGATATGGGGTGCTCAGTATCAAGAACAGGATGCAATATTGGTGAAGCCTGGGAGCCGCTCTATTCTGGAATCAATATGTTCTAGGGAAAGACTCTCAATGGCCATTATCGGGAGTATTAATGGTGAGGGGCGTGTTGTTCTAGTCGATAGTTTGGCTATTGAGAAAAGCCGTGCTAGTGGACTCCCTCCTCTTCCTCCAGCTGTTGATCTTGAGCTAGAGAAAGTTCTTGGTGACATGCCTAAAAAATCCTTTGAATTCAAACGAGTGGCTTATGCACAAGAGTCGCTTGATATTGCTCCTGGAACCACGGTTATGGATTCATTGAAGAGGGTATTACGACTTCCGTCCGTATGTTCCAAACGGTTCCTGACGACAAAGGTCGATAGATGCGTTACAGGTCTTGTAGCACAGCAGCAAACTGTTGGTCCCTTGCAGTTACCTCTTGCCGATGTTGCAGTTATTGCTCAAAGTTATGTCAACTTAAACGGGGTGCTTGTGCCATCGGTGAGCAACCTATCAAGGGGTTGCTTGATCCAAAAGCGATGGCTAGACTGGCCGTTGGAGAAGCCCTCACAAATCTTGTTTGGGCTCAGGTTACTGCTTTGTCTGATGTTAAAGCAAGCGGAAATTGGATGTATCCTGCCAAGCTCGAGGGGGAAGGAGCAGCCATGTATGACGCTGCTATTGCTCTTTCGAATGCAATGATTGAACTCGGTATTGCTATTGATGGTGGGAAGGACAGTCTTTCAATGGCTGCCCATGCAGGTGGTGAGGTTGTCGAGGCTCCTGGAAATCTTGTAATTAGCGCCTATGTCACTTGCCCCGACATAACAAAAACAGTTACACCAGATTTGAAGCTAGGAGATAATGGTATTTTGCTTCATATTGATTTGGCAAAGGGAAAGCAGCGTTTGGGTGGATCCGCTTTGGCTCAGGTTTTTGATCAAATTGGGAATGATTGCCCCGATCTTGATGACGTTTCTTATCTTAAAAGGGTTTTCGAGGCGGTGCAGGACCCTCTTGGAGATGAACTGATCTCTGCAGGTCATGATATCAGCGATGGCTGGTTACTGGTTTGTGCTTTGGAGATGGCATTTTCTGGAAATTGTGGCATTGTGTTAGATTTGGCTTCCCGAGGGAATAGTGTTTTCCCGTCACTTTTCGCCGAAGAGCTTGGTCTCATTCTCGAAGTAAGCAAAAACAATATGGAGAGCGTAATGGAGAAGCTCAGCAGTGTTGATGTTGCTGCCGAGATAACCGGACAAGTAACTGCCTCACCCATTATAGAGCTAAAAGTTGGAGTTACTCGTTTAAATGAAAAACTTCTCTTCTGAGATACGTGGGAGGATACGAGTTTCCAGCTCGAAAAGTTGCAGAGACTTACTTCTTGTGTGGAATCGGAGAAAGAAGGTTTGAAATTCCGGCACGAGCCGTCTTGGCCATTGTCTTTCACTCCATCCACTACGGATGAGAAATACATGACTGCAACTTCGAAACCGAAAGTAGCCATCATCCGTGAGGAAGGGAGCAATGGAGACCGAGAAATGTCAGCAGCCTTTTATGCTGCTGGTTTCGAGCCTTGGGATTTTGCAATGCAGGACCTACTTAAAGGAGTTATTTCTTTGAATGAATTCCGTGGAATTGCATTTGTTGGAGGTTTTAGTTATGCCGACGTGCTTGATTCCGCGAAGGGTTGGGCTGCATCCATTCGATTCAATCAGCCTCTTCTCAGGCAGTTTCAGGAGTTCTACAAACGCCCCGATATGTTCAGTCTCAGAGTTTGCAATGGATGTCAGTTGATGGCTTTGTTAGGATGGGTCCCGGGGCCGCAAGTTGGTGGTGTTCTTGGTGCTGGTGGGGATCCATCACAGCCTAGGTTTATAAACAATGAGTTCGGGCGATTCGAATGCCGCTTCACAAGCGTGAGCATAAACAACTCGCCAGCCATAATGTTTAAAGGAATGGAAGGCAGTACATTAGGTGTATGGGCTGCCCACGGTGAGGGAAGAGCATATTTTCCCGATGACTCTGTTCTGGATCGTGTAGTACATTCAGATTTAGCTCCATTGCGATATTGCGATGACGACGGGAATCCAACAGAGGCTTACCCGTTCAATCTGAATGGCTCTCCATTAGGAGTCGCTGCGATTTGTTCACCGGATGGACGACATCTTGCCATGATGCCTCATCCGGAGCGGTGTTTCCTGATGTGGCAGTTCCCGTGGTATCCGAAGGACTGGAACGTGGACAAGAAAGGCCCCAGCCCATGGTTAAGAATGTTCCAAAATGCCAGAGAATGGTGCTCGTGATATTGGCTCATAATATTTGTTCTCATAGACATTTATACTTGAAAACTGTTTCTCATGCTTGCAACTTAGCCGAGTTTGTTTATTTTACAAACCTGTTTGGACCAATTTTCCCTTTTAATTTCAAAGAAATGAAGATCACAGTATCTTGTCTGAAAGCATTTTGTGTTTATTTTATATTTTGATGTCATATATCTTATGTGATTTACCTGAGAATGATGTATGATCTTCCTGTTAAGATAAATGCCAATGATGGCATCTATACTGTAAATTTAATGGCTGCTGAGAACCAATGTCATGGGTGCTTTTGCACTGATCCAATAATTAAGGGATTGGATTCGAAAGAAGTGTTTTTTTTTTAATTTTGAGTTATTTGAGTTGTTCAGTCTACTCAAATTTTGAATTTGGATTCTAAGTTTGAGTGGAGTCCGAAGCTCTGCTTAAGTGAATGCTTGTTTCAGTGAAAGCTGTAGAAACTGCAATTAACACGGGTTCTTCACATTATTGTTTTACAATTATATATATATATATATATATATATATATATATAACTTTTAAGGACTATGGATTTTGATTTTTACTATTGTCAAATATGAAATTCTAAGATAAAAATGATTTAAAAATATTATTTAAATGCTTTGTTAATTAGTGATAAACAAAATATATTAATTTTTTCTCTCAATATTCTTGTGTCGTCTTCTTCTCTTCTTTTGTTTTTGTTTAGCCGATAACAACATCAATCTTAATATTAGTTACTGACTGTCGGTGATTATTATTATTATTTTCTTTTTCATATTGTCTGTTTTTTTCTTGATTTTTTTTATTTTTAAATAAGAATTTTTGTTCTTGTGACGTGTTTTTATCTGTTTTTGTGGCACATTTTTTCTCTACTCTTGCGGTACGTTCCTTATGGTTTTCGGTAAGTTTTTCACATACTTCTACGGTCGTGTTAGTGTTTTCACAAAAATCCTCACGACATTTGTTTTCTGATTGGCTTGTCGGTGGTCACGTATTGTCAGATCTCCTCTTTTGTAAATGGTCGTTTACCAATATAATCATAATTGTGTAGCGAAACAGTCTGCCGATATAATTAGAGATAATGAGTTTTATAAATGTTGTTGGATTGTTTTGATGTTTGGAATGTTTCTATCTTTTCGTATTTTTGGGTTTAATATTTTTTTATGTATGAGTTTTTAGTGATTATTATCTCTAATTTTCTCTTTAGATGCATTATAATTTTGATTTTTCTGTTTTTATTAATGAAATTCAGTTGTCATTGTTCGATATATATTTTATAACTTTTTATCTTATATATGATATTTGAAAATAGTTGATTTTTTTTAATGAACTGCGGATAACTATTAAAGACTAACATGCATCGAAACGCCCCGAATATCCAACTGAAACAGAACGACAGTCTAGCAAATTTCAATAAGCCAATTGAAATTTCAAAAAAAAAAAAAAGTGCGGACCCAATGAAGGGGACCAAGCATGGTGAGATTGAAATTTGAAGCCACATATGCATCTCGAGAGAGGAATCGGCTGACCGATAGCATGTCTCACCATGCTTGGTCCTTTACGTTGGGTCTGCACACTTTTCGTTGGGTTAGCCGATTTCTCTCTCGAGATGCATACGTGAACCTCAAATTTCAGTCCCTTCCAACAAAAGACCGAATATGGTATATCATAGAAGAAATAGCCGTGCTTCTCGTAACACCGACAATGAAATCAATGACTTGTCTACTATCCGATTCCACACGGATCGAATGTCAACCCTTGTTCTAAGCAAGAGACAGACCTTTAAGAATTCCCCGCAAGTCCCTATCAAGCGCAGAACATTTCCCAATCGACTTAGAAAACCTCTGGATCCATCGCGCATTACGGACTCGGATCAATCCTCCACAAGCGGTAAAACCATCATCAGTTCGTCGTGCCCCATTAGTGTTGACTTTGGAGACACCGTTGGTCGGACGCTGCCAAGGAAATTTACGAGCATAGTAAAATAGTTTAATATAATTTTACAATTATAACGCATTTTATCTATTTTAGCCTTAGTTTATTTTACTAATATTTTTAGGCTTAAATATACAAAAATGTGTCAAGTTTATGCCATTTTTTTAGTTTAGTGTCTAATGTTTATTTCGTTCCAATTTAATGTCTAGCGTTTTATTTAATGACACAAAATGAGTCCAGCCGTAACGAACCGTTAACCCATTAAAAATACTATGTTACATAATTTTCACCATGACTCCACCTGATCATTTCATCTTCTTTCTCTTCTTACTACCAGTCTCTTCATCATCATCACCTCCATTGTTTCCAGCTGGTACAACCCCACCTCCAGGTAATGACAACTCCATACCTCCACAGTCTCTGGCCGCAACGTTCCCTCGTTTTTGAACGCTTCGAACACTTACCATTCGGCACTGTCAATGTTCCAAGAGTAAATGGAAGTTCTAGCCGAAGAACCCAACGCTAGAATCCTCTTTAACACCTTCGATGCTTTGGAACCAGAAGCATTAAACGACATTGAAAAATTCAAAACGATTGCCGTTGGATCCTTAATCCAACTCAAACGATTATCTCCAATATGACAAACCAGAATTAGTTAAGTAGTTAAGTATCAAAGGTTAGGTGGTTAATTGGTTGTAATCGGTTGTAACCAACTTTGCAGCAGCTAGATCCTCTCTTTGAAGTCTTTAAATAGCTGCATATACTTGTGTACAAAATATGATGAATACATTGAAGTTGTTTACATTTTTCAACTGTTATTCTTTCATAGTTTCTTCCATAGTTAACATGGTATCATTCACCATTAGATCTTAAAATGGTTTCGCTGTGCGTTTCTCTTTTCTTTCTCTTTTCTTGCTTGACTACTGTGTCTCGGTTTTCTTGCTTCTTCGAGATCGATCATGGTTCAAGTTGCGTCAATATCAGAAATGGATGAGGATGAGCAGTTTACAGATGCTAGCTCGCATACCTTTGCTAATAAAAGAATCAACGTGTGCTTAACAGATTCAAACTATCTCTTATGGAAGCAGCAAGTGATTCTCATGATTCGAGGACTTGGACTAGAAGGCTTTCTTGATGAATCCATGGTGGTTCCGGTGAAGCTGGTTCTTAACGATGCTTGTGAACAGATTATCAATCCATCTTATTTGCGTTATGTCAAGCAAGATAGCTCGTTGGCTTCTTGGCTTCTTTCTACTGTCAGTACCAACATTCTACCTCAATTGGTTGGTGTTGAATCCACAGCTGCAGTCTGGAATGTCATCACCAAGTTGTATTCCAAGTTGTCTACTACAAAAATTATGGCTTTGTATTATCGAATCAAGTTAATAAAGAAAGGTTCTCAGTCTATGAGAGACTACACATGGCTATTAAAGAGATATGTGATTTTTTAGCTACGTGTGGTAGTCCTATCTCGAATATTGATCATATTGCCACAATTCTTAATGGTTTATCTATTGAATATGAGCCAACTGTTGCTGCGATCACTGTTAGCAGAGAACCATTTGCCCTCGATAATGTGGAATCAATTCTTATTGATGCTGAGTCACGTCTTGATGACTCATCAAGATTTACAATAAGGGTAAATTTCACACGTTATGGTACCTCTGATGCTCAGCACTAAAAGAATCATGGGGATTCTAAACCTAACAATACTAAAGCTAGCAAGTACAAGGGGAGACCTAAACAAAAATGTTAACTTTGTGAGAAGCTAGGTCATTTAGTTGACAGATTAGGTTTGATCAGAACTTTAAAGGTATAACTTCCCAAAAAAGTTCTTCAACTAATGAAATGCAGGTAAACGTTTGTTCATGCTTTCCTCATGCATATGACTGTCATTACAATCCTTTTGTAAGTGTAAGTACATGAGAAGAAGGCTCATCTGTCATCAAACTGAGTGGTAATGTCCAAGTTAATGGATTAATGGTTGATGATCCTTTGACCTATGCTAAATAGTTTCCATATTCAAGAGCCACACATCATGTGACTGGTTTCACCTCCACTATCTCAAGCAGGCAAGCTTACATTGGAAGTGGTAAGGTTCATCTAGGAGATGGTTCCACTGTTGCAATTACTCATATTGGTAGAAACGTTTTAAAAGCTGCCTCTAGAGAACTTTTGCTTGATTAGATGTTATATGTTCCAAAAATTAATAAGAACCTCTTGTCAGTTTCAAAATTTACTCAAGATAATTCGGTTTATTTTGAGTTTCATGCAAGTGTTTGTTATGTTAAGGATGAAAGCACAGAAGTCGTGTTGATGGAAGGAAAGCTTGATAAAGGACTTTATAGTTTTAATTGTCAATCTCTGCAAGAAACAACAACAATTCATAGTGTTGTCATCAAAGATACCAATGAGTATTGGTTGTGGCATAAAAGGCTAGGTCATCCTGCAGCTGAGGTAGGGCTGTAAATGAGATGAGACAGATCGCGAGCTACTCGAGATCGACTCGGTCAAGGCTCGATAAATACTCGGATCGAATGGACTCGACTCGAGCTCCACTCGAATTCTTAACGAGCCGAAACGAGCTACTTGATACTCGACTCGAAAAGCTCGTGAGCAGCTCGAAAATATAATATATTAAGATTTTATTTTTTAAAAATAAATTATTAATAATATTAACATTTATGTGTTGATTTTTTTTTAAAATACAATAAGACTTTCATGTATTTAAGGTTAAGTTTCGAGTTTGAGTTTGAGGCTTCAATCTAGTTAAGTTTAAGATTTTTTTTCATTTCGAGCCTTTTCGAGCTGTTCACGAGCTTCAATTCAGGATTTTGAGTTCGAGTCGAGATTAAAAATTTTAAGCTCGCGAGTTTTCGAATCGTGTCGAGTTGTATTTCAGAGTTTTCGAGTCGAGTCGAGCTCAGCGATACTCGAACTCGACTCAGCTCATTTATACCCCTAAGCTGAGGTGGTGATGGCAACTCTTAATAAAAGGCTAAATATAGATAGAACTGAAGTATATGCAACCTGTCAGATAGGAAAAAGTAAAGTTCAGCATGTTTCTGTGTCACAAACCGTGTACAAACAACCATTTGAGTTAGTAGAAGTTGATGTATGGG